TAAGGAAAGAGAAAAATAAAAGACAGAAGAAAGAGAAGGAATCTCTATAAGCCTCTGAGTGCTCATTAAACAACAAAAAGCTATTACTGAAAAAGGTTTAGGATCTATAAGCGAGATTAAAAGATTAGTTCAGCAAACTAAATTATTAGTTACTCTTATTCTGAAAACAAAAACTGTATTTTCTTTTTACATGGACATATGAGACATTGTGAATGGTGTATAGACATGGGACGATAACTGCTTTCAAGGTTTACCGTGGTTTTAAAACCGCCAACATTTTCTGTAAAACCGTTCCTATGGTATTTACGATTTATGTAAAATTAACATTACGGAAATTAAAAAAAAAAAATTTAGTCAAATGTTTCTTACTGTCATTATGGCAAAGATTAAATAAATCAGTGATTAGAAATGAGTTATTAAAACTATTATGCTTAGAAATATGTTGAAAAAATCTTCTCTCCGTTAAACGGAGATTGGGAAAAAATAAACAGGGGGCTAATAATTCAGGGGGGCTACTAATTCTGACTTTAACTGTATGTTTCCATCCAAAAATGATAATTAACTTTATGCGCAAAACTGGAATATGGCATAAAAGATATGCGAATAAAGCGGCGTTTCCATCCAACGAGTCAAAGAGAACAAAATTGCCACTTCCTGATTAATTGACGCCAAATATCAACAGTAAAAACGGAATTTGCTGCGGTAAGAAAATCTGCGTGAATCTTTTCGTTATTTAATAAATTACTTGTGCCTCAGAGGACAATGGAGCGGAGCACAGATGCTCTTGATAGTTCTGGAGGTAATTAATAATGTAATAACACTAATACTAAAACGGTTAAGGCGTTTTAGAATGACCAAAACAACATTTCAGATGTTTTTCAATGTGCTCAGGCGGCTGGTTTATCCATTTACACACATTTTTATCGTCACATGATCTCTTATAACAAAATCACATGACCATTTTAATGCGCATACTGGAATTTGTTCACTAAATGTGTTTTCATCATGGTTTTTCGCATCTTTTCTTTTCGAATAAAAAGTTTATCCTACTCAGTTATGTGCATATGTTTTTATGTGCATTTTAAAAATGTATGCGCATCTTGGCGATTTTTTTATGCGCATATCCAAACTGGGCATAAAAATAGGTGGATGGAAATGTAGCTAATGATTTAAATTTGAATTATTTAGCCTGTCATGTTAACTGTTGCAAAATATTTTGAATGTTTCCCCAAATTAAAATATATTGTGTTTAAAGGGGAAGTTTTAGTTTTTTACCCGCACATTTAAAAAGAACCGGCTTTAGAGCAATTTATCCCACGTCTAATGGTGTAGTAGTTGCTAAAATAGTCCAAATACAAAAAAATAGTGCTGAGATTTTGAGAAAACTTATTAGAGATTTTCCAATATTCCAACTTCATGCAGTAGCTTTAGTGACAAACAGCAATTTTTAAAGCGTTGATAGCTAAATAAATGACATTCACTCAAAAATGAAGTTTGTGTTTGTTCAAAACAGCTTAAAATGATGAAACGGGATACAGCTTAATTGTTTTAATATTCAATTCACTTATATTTTTCAAAACTAATAAGTTAACTTAATTTCAAATGGATTGTGTGGAACCCAGAATCGTTCACACTCACAGTGTTGGGATCAGACCAGCTCTATACAAAAATCCACAAAATTCAGTTTTCAGCATCAAATCAACTGATTTTTGTAAACGAATTGGCTTCAAAACAATTATTCAATCATGAATTGAGCTTCAACTACATCTCATAAACTTTTATGAACATGTCAGAGAAAGGTAGATATTCAGTGATTAATGACTCGGTCATGTGACTTCTTGAAATTTTGGAATATAGTCATCTGGAGCTCTTTTATGACGCTTACTAATATGATAATAGTGTACTGCCTTCTGTTGCTTTCAGCAACGTAAGGGGGAATAAACACATTTTTAATGCTGGGTGTACTATTCGTTAGATTAATTATAATTAATCATGGTAAATGATTTTTGAAAAGGTTAAACAGAGAAAAACACCCTACAGGAGTGCACAGAGAATTTAAAAGAGGACGTTTGGTTAATAAATATACGAGTGAGTCAGTCAAGTGCTGAATTATTGCTCACCAAGACACTCCTTAATCAGCTCAGAAACACAGAAAAACACACACCTTCCACTTGATCAACTATTGACTGCGAGCAACACTACAACACGTGTGTTTCAGCAAGCAGCTGCAAGCACAACAAGAACACGCACCAACAAATTCAATCATGCACTCTACTCGAGCTGACTCAAAATCACCTCTCAAGCTGAAAAAAACAAAAAACAAGTTCAGCTGCAATGGTCTGTCGACTCTAGAGTCAACCTTCCCCTAAGACATATACACACTTCTGCACACACTGTTGACCATGTGCATCAGACACATGAATGCATAGAAAAGCAATCGCGATAGTATTTTTCTTGGATAGTTTTTCATTTATTGAATTCAATGAAAATAAAATATTCAGAAAGAAATTAAGAAAGAGCTGCAGAAAAAAGCAGAATGAAAATGAAGCATCTCATCTAGCCCAGCCTCACTAGAATTTCTATGAAAACAGGATTAAATCACATAGAAAGAGGGCAAGATTAAGACGGGGAATAAAAATAGTACGTATGTGGATTACGCAGGCGATAAAATGATCACAGTTGTTTGGACTTTGACGTAATCATCACATCTGCTGAAGCAAACGCTTTTTGTTCTAAGAAGAGTGGATGGCTTAAATATGTCTGCACGAAGGGGCAGATGTCCTATTTTTTCAGCTTTCTGTCTGTTATCAGTGTTTCTCTGTATGACTAATTCAATCTCACTCCCTTTGGGCTATTGGAATATTAACACCAACTGTTTAAAGATGATAAAATCATTACGGTAATTCAGCATGACCCTGCAATTTATTTGCCAGCCTTTAGCTTTAGGAAACTTGATTCATCTGAACGAATCGGTTCATTTCAGTGAATCAGTTCATAAAACGTAATGGAGTCACCAGTAAAACTAAAGAAGAAATTCATGAGATAAAATTAATATATTGTTTCTGGTTTAACATGTGGATAAATACTGCCATATCAACATCAAATTGATAACTTTTTTTACATGTATGGCTTTGGCTTATTTTGCAGGTTTAGAGTAAAACATATTTTGGAAACTCTTTCATTTCAGTGTTAAAAAATTGTTTTTCAGTGCAATTTTAACATCAGGAAAGAAACTTTAATAACTCTATTTACATCTTCTTGGTAAAGAGTCTTCTTTACCAAAATCATTCAATATTTAACACATTTTTGGAGGGACAATTCATTTACTGATACAGATAAAGTCAGAATTAATGGATTTTTTTCTTTTTAAAAATATTTTCCAAATTATGTTTAACAGAGCAAGGGACTTTTCACAGTATGTCTGATAATGTTTTTTCTTCTGCAGCAAGTCTCATTTGTTTTATCTTGGCAAGAATAAAATGAGCTTTTAATAATAATAATAATAATAATAATAATAATAATAATAATAATAATAATAATAATAATAATAATAAAACATTTTAAGGTCAAAATTATTAGCCCCTTTAAGCTTTATTTTTTCCGATTGTCTACAAAACAAGCCATCGATACACAATAACTTGTCTAATTACCCTAACCTGGCTAGTTAACCTAATTAACCTAGTTAAGCCTTTAAATGTCACTTTAAGCTGTAAAGAAGTGTCTTAAAAACTAGTAAAATATTAATTACAGTCATCATGGCAAAGATAAAATAAACCAGTTATAAAGAATGAGTTATAAAAACTATAATGTTTAGAAAAGTGTTGAAAAAAATCTTCTCTCCGTTAAACAGAAATAAACCGGGGGGCTACTAGTCCAGAGGGGCTAATAATTCTGACTTCAACTGTATATGGATAAATTACTATTGAGAAAATTCAGTCATTTTCTTTTCGGCTTATCTATATATTTTAAACATAAATGCATGTAATTTGCCTACTAAAACTTAATTACATGTTAATTAAATGCTAAATAGGCATAACGTAATTAGATAGTGTTTTGACAGACTACGTGTCATACATTATTACGCTGAAACAACGTTCTCATCGCAAAACACTCGCTGAGTCGGTTCAACCGAATCACTATAAAAATTCTAAATTGATTCACTCGCGTCTGACTTGTATAGGCAATTTGAGTTTAGCAGTGATTTAGTCATCTGCTTTGCGTTTATCAGTCATCGGAAAAGTCACTCAGCACCTATTTCAACACCTCACTGACTTGTGCGTCAAAAAGCAAAACATTCCTGTGAGTTTCCTCTTCATTTCCAATTCAGTCGGGTATAATCAAACAAATAATTGACCACATGCATAACCTATACTGTATACTGTGAATGTTAACTAGTTATTTACATTAAATGTATTCACGTCCATACGTCAGTTTGTTGGTCTACTTATTCCTGTTAAGGTGTGTACAAGAACGTAGCACACACCCAGTAAAGCATCTTCAAAGAAAGAAGCTTATTTTTGGATCACATGCACAAATGTAAAAAAAAACACACACAAACACACACACACACACACGACATATTCAGGTGATTGGTAGTAGACAGATTATGACGCGAATAAGTGTGCGTGGATTATGTAATCTGTTACAGGTAAAGATGTAACGCTGCAACGTCAAAATGCGTCTGCAGTGTAAACAAACACGAGACTCCAACTCTAGTGGAGCTATCAAATCCACTGACCATTAAAACAATATTACGATACAAATTAATACTCACACACATAGATTAGATAGGATATGTTACCAAATAACATTGTAATTTGCAATATATATATATATATATATATATATATATATATATATATATATATATATATATACATATAAATAGAAGTAAAAAATAAAATGATTAGCCGTCCTATCAGAGTAATTATAACATTGCAAGCAAAATTACAATATGAAATGCACTGCAAAAGGAACATGTGGTACAAATGAGTACTTACTTAGAGTTGGTACTATTCCAGAAAACAGTGAGTCTCTCAGCTGAGGCGAACACAGCGCAGATACTCGCTGCAATGTATAAAAGCCACACCAGATCCATTATAGACCTTCTGTGAATCAATCCAAAATGAAGAAAATAACCAGCAACTGGTAAAGTTTCCTCTAAATCTCTGTGCAGTGGATGCAAACTGCTTTCAAGTTAGTTAATATGCAGGTTGTAGCTGTAATGCAAATACTGAATCAAGAGATCCGCGTCTATTATCTATCTAGTCAGTACTGAATGAAACTTTCTACACGTCGCAGTTTGGTTTTGTGGAAACGCCTCCACGCAAGCCACGCCCTGCAGCCAATCAGAACCCAGGCTTCCTTCTTTATGAAGGAGAGGCAGTCGATCGCCCTCTACAGATACTGTAGCTCAGTCTGAGGTTGGGGAATCGATTGTAAACATGTTTTCCGATTAGACTGTGACAAAGTGTTCTTAGAAATTCGACAGAGTTATGGAACATAATATGATATGGAAAAAAAAATAAACATTTGTATCGATTCACTCCCAGACATTCAGTCTGACTGGATAGGTGTTGATAGTCCGTAAGGGCTTTTTAACACATAGGGCATAAATGCTTTCATCTTCCCAATCAACAAAGTTCGGATAAAAACAAGCCATTAACACTTTCACACATACTCGAAATGCAAGTTAGACTAGTCTTTGGTCAATCCAATTTGGTCTGATTTTATTTGATGTCCTATTCAACTGATATTTAATCCACTGAATAGGCTACAAGTGATTAACCTCCCACATGAAACCAAACCATTGCATTACATATCAATAAAGGGGTCATGTTTTATGGTGTTCTATCCTCCTCATTTAGGTAAATATGAATATTTAGACAGTTTTAAATATTATTATTAATAATAATAATAATAATAATAATAATAATAATAATAATAATAATAATAATAATAATAATAATAATAATAAATAATTTTAAAAATCTAAACTGAACATGTTTTTGGGGTCGTTCATACTTTTAGCCTATACCTAAAACTTGGGTTAAAACAACCTAGCACTTTTAGTGTATAGTTTGCTGTCCACACATTTGGTATCCACATATATTTAAGACATTTTGATTTAGTAAAATGTCCAGTGTGCACCTTACATTTTTAGTCTAGTTTCACTATCACACACAAACAGTTGTGTTTGTGTATTGCACAATACACACTGACTGTTGACAGATTCAAGAAGAGCCAGCAGGCGTTTTAGCACTCTTGTCAAAACAGCATTACTTCTGCTGAATGCTAATGCAAAATTCAAGCCCCACTCACGGAGCAAATCATGGGGCTCAAATCTCCTTTATCTCCCCTTTTAATAGTGAGCCTGATATGCGCAGTGTTGGCTTTAAGTATTAACTACTGTAATTAGATTACTTTTTATCAAAAAAAGATATCACTTATTTATTTTTTTGCAAGTTAATTACAGTTACTTATAATTTACTTGCCTCAAATACTGTAAATAAATTCAACAGGTCTGGATTAATCAATCCAAAGAAGCAGAGTAAATATATTTTGCAGAATAATTATATTTTCCACCTAAAAAGGTTACATTTTTAAAGATGATTGAACATGCTTAAGCATGTGAAAAACAATAGATTGAGTAAGAAATATGATGTCATTACTCAAAAAAATATTCATATACATATGCTATAATGTCTTATTTGGATCAAATTTAAAGAATGAAAAGAATTGAATTTATTTTTTCTATGCATTTAGATTCACACGAATTTTAAATAGTATTGAGTGAAATATTTAAATTACTTAATAAGCAATTTAGATGGATATACTCAACCCACACACACTCACCGGCCACTTTAACAGGTACAACTGCTCGTTAGTGCAAATATATAATCACCCAATCACATGGCAGCAACTCAATGCATTTGTTTATGTAGACATGGTCAAGACGATCTGCTGCAGTTCAAACTGAGCATCCGAATGGGAAAGAAAGGTGAATTAAGTGACTTTGAATGTGGCATGGTTAATAGACGGGCTGGTCTGAGTATTTCAGAAACTGCTGATCTACTGAGATTTTCAAGCACAACCATCTCTAGGGTTTACAGAGAATGGTCTAAAAAAGAGAAAATATCCAGTGAGCGGCAGTTCTGTGGGAGCAAATGCCTTGTAGATGGCGGAGGTCAGAGGAGAATGGCCAGACTGGTTCCAGCTGATAGTAAGGCAACATTAACTCCAATTTGTATCATTGATTGCAGCCGCCAAACCTGCAGCAACAACGTGATGCTATCATGTCAATATGGACCAAAATTTCTGAGGTACCTTGTTGAATCTATGCTACAAAAGATTAAGGCAGTTCTGAAGGCAAAAACGAGCCCAACCAGGTACTAGTAAGGTGTACCTAATAAAGTGGCCAGTGAGTGTATATACATACAGAAGTATTTCAGGAAACACACCATCGTTTTTAACTCTGTTCGAACTAATGAAAGATCTTTTATTTAAGACTAAATAATCTCTTCATTTTGATATTAAGACGTTTTATTGCTTTTATTTCAGGCTCTGGATATTGTGTGTCAGTATGGCAATAGTAAAAAGCGTATAGGGTTTACATTGCTCTTATAACCTTATAAATCCATGGTAACACTTTACAATAAGGTTCATTAGTTAATGCATTTACTAACATGAACTAATCATGAACAACACATGTACAGGATTTATTTATCATAATTGAACATTTACTAATGCATTATTACCATCCAAGTCCATGCTTGTTAACATTAGTTAATGCACCATGAGTTAACATGAACTAACAATGAACTACTGTATTTTCATTAACTAACGTTAACTAACATGAACAAATACAGTAGTAAATGTATTGTTCTTTGTTTGTTCATGTTAGTAAATGCATTAATTAACATTAACTAATGAACCTTATTGTAAAGTGTGACCAAATCCATTAAGTTGTCTCTTTTTGACGTTTACTGCTAAGTCCTGTTTTATAACATACTTTATAAAACATTTGAACTAATTTGGATTGATATGACACCGTTGTAGATGAGTCTTATTTATTCATTCATTCATTTTCTTTTCAGATTAGTTCCTTTATTAATCTGGGGTTGCCACAGCGGAATGAACCACCAACTTATCCAGCATATGTTTTACGCAGCGGAAGCCCTTCCAGCTGCAACCCATCACTGGGAAAAAAGAATCTTATTTATGTGAAAACACACAATCAAACCATTTGTTTTTCCCCAATACATTTTTGCAATATCTGACAGAAGGTTCCTTTTTTGGGGTAAAATAACCCTTTAAATAGATAGTTCACCCAAATATGCCAAACATACCCAAACATAGTCACTATTTACTCACCCTCAAATGGTTTATGTGTTTATTTATTCTGCTGAACACTAAATAAGTTATTTTGAAGAAAGCTGAAAACCTGTAACCATTGACTCTCATAGTAAAAAAAAAAAACGAATGCTATGTTAGTTAATGATTAGAGGTTTTCAGCATTCTTCAAAATATCTTCTTTTGTGCTCAAAAGAAAAAAGAAAGTCAAACAGGTTTGGAACAAGAGCATAAAAAAATAATTGTGAGTTTTGGGTAAAGTATCTTAACTTTTTATTCTTGGTTTCTGAGTTCAGGACACAATGAAAGATATTCCCACTTCCGTAGACTCCAATTTGTGTATTACACAAACACTCGAAACATTTTCAAACATTTTGAAACAGCTGTATGAGACATATCCTTCACTGGAAGTTGTTGACCTTTTTTCTTCTGGCTCAATCCTGTTCGCTCCTGAAAGTGAGGCACGTGATGTCTGCAACAGCTGTGTGTCTTAACAGGTAAACCAGACGGGACAGGTATACGGTAACAACTACAATATATCTTCATCAAAACCGACCACTTCCTTATGACTATTTGACATTACGCAACATCAAGCTAATGAATCAGGCTCCTGATGTCAACCTCATAATTAGTTAGTGTTGTTCTTGGAAAATGAACAAGCTCTGAGACTTTCTGTATGGTTATTATCTCTTAATATTTGAGTTTATGCAACATATTTTCCCAAATATTTGTAGTCCTAAATGCACTTTTTCAGAGGAACACTCGTTTGTGAGAGGTTTGTTCTGCTCTTTGTCTCGTAAAGCGTTCCAGATCTGTCATTTGTGAGGTTAGAATGCTGGCTATATAGGAAGTTCACTAGGTTTTGGGACGGAGCCACTGTAAGCTTGCTGTAACGTGTTTATTTCTTGGGTCTTGTCCTGGTCTTGGCATCATAAAGTTGAACATGGCTGAAAATGTTATGAGGAACTGATCTGCCTTTCCTCTTGTTCTCTCTTCAGACAGATATGGGGACAGAGGACTGAAACAATACCATGGCAGGCGTACACAAAGTGACATTGGAAACTAATGCAAGTGGACAAATGTTTTAATATGGATCACATCGCAGTGTAAATTGCGTATTTATGTTGTTACATAATACGAAAGTAAATAGAGAACACTTTACATACACTGTGTGTGCATGTAGGAGCAATTAAAGGCAAAACTTGTGATAGTTCACCAAAAATGTGTCCTAAAATAAAACCTCCCAGCAGGTACACAACGTCAGAAGTAGGGCCAGACAGAATCTGCTAATTTATCTGGAATTATATTGGGAGTATCATATCTTTCTATCAAACCTCTTCAGCTGCTTCAGAATGCAGCAGCACACGTGGTCTTTAATGAACCTAAATGAGCAGATGTCACTCCGCTACTCATCCGTTTGCACTGGCTGCAAGTTGCTTCTCGCATCAAATTCAAAGCTCTGATGTTTGCTTACCAAGCAACTTCTGGCTTTGCTCCTTCTTATCTGCTCTCACTTCTGCAGATCTATGTGCCCTCCAGAAACTTGCGTTCTGTGAATGAACGTCGCCTCGTGGTTCCATCCCAAAGAGGGAAGAAATCACTTTCCCGAACTCTCGCATTCAATCTGTCCAGTTGGTGGAATGAACTCCCTAACTGCATCAGAACGGCAGAGTCACTCGCTGTCTTCAAAAAACGACTAAAAACTCAACTATTTAGTCTCCACTTTCCTTCCTAATCTGCAATTGCCTCTCTGGCTCCACCGCTAACTTTACTACAAAAAAAAAAAAAGTTACTAATGTTTAGCTTTATACACTTTACATACCTGAGACTTGCCTACAGCACTTATTCATTGTTGCTCTTGTTGTTGCGTAAATTGCTTCCTTGTCCTCATTTGTAAGTCGCTTTGGATAAAAGCGTCTGTTAAATGACT